TATAACTAGAATGACATCTACGGCACACCATCACATATATCACATTCCGACTAACACATGTGAAACCATCTTTGATGGCAAAGGTACCTTTAAGGAGGCGAATGTGTTGTTTTTTTTTGTTGTTTTTTTTGTGCCCACAGCTGGTTCTGTTTAAAAAAAAATCGTACTCAGCCGAGCTCCAAACATAAAAATAATATTTAAAAAAATTAAATTAAAAATATTTAAAAAAAAAAAAAAATAAAAAAATGACATTAAAAAAAAAAAAAAAAAATAAAAAAAAAAAAAAAAAAAAAAAAAAANAACCATGAGGTGAACCCAACAAACGTGGATCACGCAATATGAATATCCTTTTATAACCATGAGGTGAACCCAACAAACGTGGATCACGCAATATGAATATCCTTTTATAACCATGAGGTGAACCCAACAAACGTGGATCACGCAATATGAATATCCTTTTATAACCATGAGGTGAACCCAACAAACGTGGATCACGCAATATGAATATCCTTTTATAACCATGAGGTGAACCCAACAAACGTGGATCACGCAATATGAATATCCTTTTATAACCATGAGGTGAACCCAACAAACGTGGATCACGCAATATGAATATCCTTTTATAACCATGAGGTGAACCCAACAAACGTGGATCACGCAATATGAATATCCTTTTATAACCATGAGGTGAACCCAACAAACGTGGATCACGCAATATGAATATCCTTTTATAACCATGAGGTGAACCCAACAAACGTGGATCACGCAATATGAATATCCTTTTATAACCATGAGGTGAACCCAACAAACGTGGATCACGCAATATGAATATCCTTTTATAACCATGAGGTGAACCCAACAAACGTGGATCACGCAATATGAATATCCTTTTATAACCATGAGGTGAACCCAACAAACGTGGATCACGCAATATGAATATCCTTTTATAACCATGAGGTGAACCCAACAAACGTGGATCACGCAATATGAATATCCTTTTATAACCATGAGGTGAACCCAACAAACGTGGATCACGCAATATGAATATCCTTTTATAACCATGAGGTGAACCCAACAAACGTGGATCACGCAATATGAATATCCTTTTATAACCATGAGGTGAACCCAACAAACGTGGATCACGCAATATGAATATCCTTTTATAACCATGAGGTGAACCCAACAAACGTGGATCACGCAATATGAATATCCTTTTAAAAAGATTTGAAAAGTGGAAACTCTAAGGGCCTCTTAGGTAATCTTCGAGCGCCTGAATCATTTTCTAAAAGGACAACGTTGCATGAACAGCTACATCGATCCGGCAATAATTTAACTTGACAGTGCTTACATTGCCAGTTTTTCAAAAGTTGGGTCTTGGAGTTTTTTTTTACGAATCGAGACTCCATTTACTATTTGGTTATTTTTAATTTTTTTTTTAAACTACTGGGAAGGAGCGATAGAAATGGAAGAATACGCTAAATAAAAATCAAATCTGTGTCACGGTGGTTGTCGCCACATGTGGAAATTGACATTGACCTGGCAGTTTATGTACAACACTCTGATCCAACATCCACGGTTGAACAGATTAGCGTGTTGATCGATGAAGCGGCCGTCGATTATTTTTTGTTGTTGTATTTTGCATTAAAATCAGATAAGATAAGATAAGATAAGATTCTTTTATTGATCCAAATAAATTGAATTTTTTTTTATTGCATTATACATTTTCAGCACATAAATAAAACAATGTGAACACAAGACATTTATAATAAATTATCTCAAACAGCCATTCAGTGAGTTCTCTAAGCCAAATCGGGGACTTATTAGTTCTCATGAAGATGTGTGACTTCAGAGGGAGCACGCCGGTAAATTCGTACAGATTGGGGAACAAAAGAATGTTTATATCTTTCAGTCCTCGCCCTGGTGGAAAGAATTCGTCCCGAACGGCCTGATCCTAAGTTTGGGATTCAAAATTGCATCATTTGACTATCCTATATCATAAATAAATTATAGAGCTACTATTTGATTTAAGAGAGGTAATGTAAAAAAAAATATTTCAATATATGGGTGAGAAAGAGAAGCGAACACTTCAATCCTGATTCCCAAACATGTGAACCGTGCACGGATAACTGAAAATTCACCTCTGACCTCTGATCGCCACATTGAAGTGCTATCCATCATCGACAAATCTACGTCAAAGGGACCAGTGTCAAGGTATTTGGATTCATTTTTGTACACACTGATTACACACACAGGAGTAGACACAAAAAATATAAATATTAATTTATTTTTCTTGGTGAGTTGGGGGGGGGGGTTGATAGATTTTAGAATCTTATATATAAGATATAATTTGGTGTCGGTACAATGCCATAAAAATCCAAGTTTCTACTTAAATTATTCTTAGATTAGGGTTTCTTAACATTTTTTTTTTTTAATTTTTGTTATAGTACATGAGACCTTTAGTCATTCAGCTGAGCGCCTTTCACCCATGTTAGAATTTGGTATTTTATTGCTTATAACAAGATTACAAATGAAATGCAGCTCCTCATCAAATATTGGGGCCCGATGATGACTGGGCGATTTCAAAAAGATATGTCAGAGAAAATTTTAAATAACGACACATTAGTTACGTTTTTTAAATTTGTATTTGTTTATTATGTGCATTAAGAATGGATAAATAATTCTATAGATCATTTTGTGTGTGTGTGGGGGGGGGAGGGGGTTCAAAATTATTTTAATGTTATGTCTAATGACATGTGATCCCGTGAACAGTTTTCTCTCTCTCAAAGTGGTCCATGATGCTTTTAATGTTGGTAACCCCTGCCACGGACTATCCTGTAAACAGGGGGTTTGAACCCCTGACCTAGATTTCAATCTGACATCTTAAATGCATTTTCATAAAAGCTGATTAATTTTAATTACAATCTACCGATTAATTGGTGTACCCCCCCCCCCCCTCGCCCAAACTGGAGCTAATAAAATTTGTCCGAAACGAAGCTGGATAAAAGCTGATTAATTTTAATTACACTCTACCGATTAATTGGGGTACCCCCCCCCCCCTCGCCCAAACTGGAGCTAATAAAATTTGTCCGAAACGAAGCTGGAGTAGAGCTAAGTAAAAAAAAAATTAAAAGAAAAATTAGCTCTACAACCACAACCACGCTAAAAACTGAAATGACTTCTCCTTAAATATGCGTAAAAACTTTAAGATGTCATTTTAAAAATAGCAAAAAAAAAAACAAAACAAAAAAACAACAACAACATCAAACAAAAAAATAGAAGTACATACATTTTATAAATTGCTTTTGAAACTTGTATTTTGTCACTTTTTCTTGCTTTTTTCTTATATCTATCATTTTATTGTCAATAGAAATTCGACTTTGACTAGGATATCAATAAGGTATATGCCATGGGGATGGTGGGGTGCGGGGGGGGGGGAGGGGATAATGCCCACCCAGATGGAGTTGGTAGGAAACAAATTGTACTTAGCCTTGGTATCAGTGTCTAGGACAGCAGAAAATAAAAAGTAGCTAGGAGTAAAACAGAAAAAAAAAATGTTCGATCATCTAAAATTAACAATTGAAAACATAAATCATAATCTGACAATTATTTTTTAAATTGATATGTGGGGTGGGGGGATTTACTAAAATAACGCCCCTTATCCCTGATTTCAAACAATAAACTAAATCATCAATGAAGTTAAATTTACAATAAGCTCAATAACAATAGGCCTGCTCAATTAAATTTAAATATGTTAAATATATCATAAAACCCCGACGTAACGATTCCCGGGTATTACGAAGTAAAAAAGATTTCGATGTTTGTTTGTTTGTTGTTTTTTTTTTTTTGTTTTTTTTTTGTTGTTGTTGTTTTTAATTGAATGATTTAATAAAAATGTTCTGTTACGTAAAGATTGAGACGAGGAGATATAGAATCTATACTATAAGTCATGTCAGCATATTTTATTGAATTGAACTGCTTAAATTTAAACTTAATAGGTAGTCCAACCTATAGGGGGCCTAATCTTATATTAAATAAGATTAACAATAAAAACTCTTATTTCGTTAATTTATTTGAAAGTGTGTGAAATATTTTAAAGATAATATTAATGATATTGGATTTAAATAAAAAATCTGAAATTTGTATCTATATTTTTCAATTTAGCATAATTTGTAATTGAGGTATATAATTTTATTACGGTAATACCCGATTATTTTCACCGTTTCCGTTTCATTTAAAAGAGAGGCGCATTATTCGTGTCAATATCGATACCAACAAATCAATTTACTATTTTAAATACCGGTAGTAAGCAAATAAAAATTCACATTGTGCTCTATGTGCATAGCTTTTTTTTTTTTTTTTTAAATTTATTCAGAAGGTTAAATGTTAATTTTGCCGTTTAAAACATTCATTCACGCGTATAAGAAAAATTAAAGAAATGAAGGAATAAAATAGTAGTTTTCTTATTTTTATTTCAGCGCTTTCATTTATACTGAATAATACTGATAAAAATAGAAAGATTAAATAGCCTATTCAAAAACATATTAGATCTTCATTATCATTAATTAAAATGAATGAACTAATAATGTTAATTTAATCCATCTATTATATTTATATGATAAACATAGGCAGTCACAGGTCTTATTTAATTTTGAAAAATACATTTTTGGCCCATGATAGCCAGAATGCACAATGTCCATAGATTTTATGGGTATGGCTTTAATTAGTTTAATTTAATTATTAAAAAAGATAAGATAATTTAATTAATTTATTACAATTTCATTGATTGAATATATTTCTTATTTTAGGCTTATGTCGTATATAATCTATTTAAAAAAAAGAATTGATCAACTCACAATGATTTTATTTTACTTTGTAGAATAGTCATGCGTACTTAAATATTTTTAAAGGTTTAAAAAAAAAAATTATGAACATTTAGTGAGGTTTTAGTAAAAATAATAAAAATAAAAAAGTTCTTTACGTTTCCATACCAATAGTAAGGAATCGATTCCCCCTTTATTGCAATGGTTCATGTATCTAAACTAAATGCTAAAGAGGAGAATCTCCGAAAGTGCTCTAACAAAAATATCAAAAAATATATGGTGATTAAATTTTAAAGTGGGTCCAAAGTATAAGCGTATAGAAAAATAATTAATCTATAGTTTAAAGTCGTATTATTTCTTACAAAGTAAATTCTATTAAAGTGGAAGTATTGAAAGGAATTACATAGTTTGGTTAATTAGCCCTAGCCGCCTTTAGTTGTAGTACTTGTAGTGATAGGCATAGGGCAGATAGAATAGGCTCTGCGCATTTAAAACATCTACCCACACTTCACACATGACAACAAACAGTCTAATACAAACAAAACAGCACAGTAAACTGCATGGAATATAACTACTATATAATTTACATGTTCAATAACATGACCATTCCTACTGTTTTTACCAGCAGGGAATAACTGGTTGGTGACTTAGTGCCTTGGCCTTTTTTTTGCCTTTTAATGTTAATCTTGATATAGATAGTATTAATAATAGTATTATTATGCGTAGAAGTGAACTGAAGCCAGTACTGATACTGCTTAGTGAAAATGTCTTGGTTTTCAGTTTGAAAAAAAAAGGTCCCCTTACTTGCCTTAAAGAACAAGTTACTACATTTATTATGATTGAGTTGTAGTTGTATAAATTTCTAATCTAATAATATTGTCAATTAAAACTGTTTCCCATTTACTACTGTCATGTAATTCTGATTTGTGAACTGAATAGTGTTCCATAGATTTGTAAAGATAATAAATAATAATAATAATAAAGTTCATTTCAAAAACACGCTTCATCCCCAAAGGCTCGAAGCGCGGTACAAAGTCAACAAAAAACAAATCTATAGTTTACCACATTTAAAACAAACGCAACACGACAATTTAAAGATGAACATTTAAAATTTCTCAAAATGAAATTGATGATATGAGTAATTGAGTATGAGCCATTTCCGACAACCTGGGGTGGGGGGTGCAAGCAGGTGATTACTAACATTTTCAATTAAAATGAATTCCATTTTTTGAATGAATTAATCAGTATTCAGTATATGAATATGATTTATGGCATGGCTAAAACCCTATGTCCTATGTGTGTAAATTTTACATTAAATAATACTACCCGGTAAGCTAATTAATATATACTGATAAATCAGTGTAAACTTTGCCAGTCACAAAAAACCACCAGACTGTAAAAATGGTATCAACTTATTTAAAAAAAAAATTATACTGTACTTTAAGTTTAAGTATAAGACGCTACAAACTATAAGATGCACCTTAATTTTTAAGCAATTTTTAAAAAAATAACATATATATATATATATATACCTGGTACATATATAATATATATATTATATTAATTTCGAGTAAAAGAAATTTGGAGGCAATTTTTCGAAGAAAAAAATGCGCCTTATGTAGAATACGGTACTTTAGGTCATTGATGACACAATAACTTATTATTAGAAAACTGTGACATAAAATGTAAAATAAAAACTAGATCCTCGCGGGCCATATGTTATATTGTAGAATACGGTACTTTAGGTCATTGATGACACAAAACTTATTATTAGAAAACTGTGACATAAAATGTAAAATAAAAACTAGATCCTCGCGGGCCATTTGTTATATTGCTACAAACTACAAAACTTTTTGCGCCATTTTTCAACATGTGCAGAACGTATGCACGAGGGAGTGTCGAAGTACCTATTTTAACATTAGTTGGCTAGAGACTGCTGGTCTGCCTAGTTTTTTCCAACCTGGGCTGCTCACACCCCTTGATTGGGGGGGGGGGGGGGGTAAAAAATAAAATAAATGTAATTTCTTGGACTTCAGTTAAAAGTAATGTATTATATATAAGTAATAATTATTTTATTATAAATATAAGAACAGAGGAGACATTGTCTTACGCCTATATTATAAGTTAGAAATAATGTTTATATATAACTGTATTTTTAAATTTAGGCATAATTTTTTTTGCATTAACATTAAAGACGTACTTTATTAATTATGTTATTTTATTTTTCTAGACCAAAAACTGTTGGAACTTTTATTTCTGTATCTTATTTTTATTTTATGTTTTCAAGAAATAACCAATTAACTTGAAATCATGCCACCAACACAAATGCCTGTTGACTTCAGCTCTTTAAGTGACATGGAACTGTCACAGATGTTAAAAGACTATAATGTGACCGTTGGACCTATAAATGGTATTGTATTATGTAAAGCCTTGTCTTTAGTATATTCTTGAATTAAAGATGGGGACGGGGTGAATTTTGTATTGCAGACGTTACATGTAATTTTTAGTACAGTAACTTACAGTTTTGAATGTGTCTAGTGTCCTAAAATTTGTTAAAGGCTGGAATTTTTCAATTATTAATTTATGGAGTCCATTAATTTTTTTCAACTATAATTCTAGACAAAATAATTTTAAACAAAATACCTTATTTGGCTTCCAAATGCTCTAAACATTTTATGTTATCGTTTGTCATTTATTCTAGCAAGGATATAAATTAAACAAATATGCATGCTCAATATTTATATCTTGTACTATATAAAAATGTTGTTTTTTTTAATGCTCTGAGGTATATATATAGTGTCTCATTTTTATTTTACTTAGTTTACATGTTTTTAATAATTGTAAAGCGCTTAGAGCTTTATGGTAAGCGCTATATAAAAATGCCTAAATAAATATATAAATGATAATTTAACCATTTTGGGGCATATCTTTTTAAAGAAAAGTTAACTTAGGAGAAATAAAAACTTTTTGTTAAAAAAGTCACAACTCACCTTTTTAATGCTTCCAGCGGCAACAAGGAGAACATATGAGCGCAAGCTAATCAAATTAAAAACAGGACATGATTCACCACCTTCTCAACGTTATGAGCCAGTCGATGATGATGATGATGATGAAGATGAAGGTATTTTCTTATGTACTCTATAAATTTTAAATTCAATTTCTCTTGTCTAATTTAAAATCTGTGATTTTAAATCATCAGTTCATTTCTGAAATTGAATTATTTATTATTGTTAAGCCTTAACACTGTTTTGGGTACACAGTTATAAGAGACTAAATATTTTTTAATTTATGTCTTGCAGTCAAATATGCTAATTTAAAAGTCTGTTTTGCCTATTAAATTAATGCTTTGGAAAAAAATATGTTTTTATCTGTGGTAACCTGGGAGCAATTTTATTTTTAACTGAAAATTTGACATGAAACATTTTTATTCAACTAACATTAGCTTATTTATTATCTTTTACTTTTACTTATATTTTTTCAAAATTGCTGAATTGTTTTCTAAATTCTAAACATTAATTGTTTTCCTTGATTTACAGAAGTACAGATTAGGCAGCCAGTCAACAGGACACCTGCTGTGTAAGTATTAATTCAAGTAATGTAATCTTATATATGAATGAAGATTTTCATCATGTGAGTTGGTATCACAAAGTTCTATGATTTAGGCTTAGAAAAGCTACAAGCTTATTGTGGGCACTTGCATTGTAACTGCTCTTTTGTCTTTCACAAATCCAATAGCATTGTTAAAGTTTTCTATCTGAGGTCTAGATTTGAATATGAACATGACCGGAGGCCTGGACCCATTGCTGGGACAATCAGTCCCACATTGACTTCATGCCAACACTTCTAGTAAATGCTAGGACCTTTGTCCACATAGCATCTTTAAAGCATGATGTGTCATTTATTTTAATTCCACGTAACGATTAGATAAACATTATGAATATTCACATTTCTAAATAATGGCATGTGTGCAATAATGTCTCATGACCTGAGATAAAATACTTTTAATGCCAGGTAAAATAGCTTGTATCTCTTTGGCACAATCATTCATGTTTTCCATTTTCTTGTTCGTTAAATATCATATTAACTTGTCTTTTGTGTTGGCAGATCTAACTCGCCACAGGCACGCTTGAGGAAAGAACAACAACAAGATACATACTCAGCTTCCCCCAGAATTGAGAGCAGACCAAACCTTGGAACATCAAGAAAAACAACAACATCGTACACACCAGCACTTTCAGAGTCATCAACCAGATACTCTTCAGAATCACAACGGGATTACAGTTCAAAGTAAGATTAAAGTAAAAAGAATGTAACCTCTTTATTTTAGAATTCAAAGTGGATAGAGAATAATGATTGTTGCTAAGACACGTCTCGATCAAGTGGGTACCCTAGTAATGTAATATTCACAAGAATAATTCAGCAATGATAAGGTCCCAATTAAACATTGCGAATTTAGATTATTTTTATCTATTTGCTCAACTTTCAGTTATGCAGAACCAATTGTGTCCTCAACTAATCAAATTTAGAGTTGAATGAAATCCATTTTAATTGTGTTTTAAAATAATTGTTCAAAGTGCTAATGATAAAGGTATGATTTTGATACTGAACTGAACATATAAATAAATTTATAATCTGCAAAGAATGTTTTGGACCACAAAGCCCAAATTATTTTACAGGGTTCCCGCGGCCTCCTGAAATTCCAGGAGCTCCTGGAAATCTCCTGGAATTTGAAAACAAATGATAAAATCCTGGAAAACTCCTTAAATTTTAAAATTTCTCCTTAAATGTCCTGAAATTTTTGTTTCCACAGAGGGAGGGGTAAAAAAAATCTTGTTCGCGATAGTTATTTTATAAATTAATATTACCGCTATATTCAATTCGTAGTCTATTTTTAGCCATTCATTTATCAAAACGAGTTTGCCATAATAATTCTAGTGGTTTCCCCTTAACTGCGCATGCGCTTTACGAGTTTCGGATATGAAATGTCGTACCGTAATGCTTTGATAGACAAGAAGTTTTTTTCGTTCCGTTCAGTTCGCCGTTCAACTAATTTATTTGGTAAGTATAGTGTAAAATACAGTAAATAGATATTTATCTGTAGTTATTTAAATTTTTGGTAACTATTATTAGTATTATGAATAGAAAACTACGCGCCCGATCGCTGTATAATTTGACTAAGCTTAGCCTAATTTTTTTTTAAAGTTGAAGTTTTGTTAGTTTTACCGTAGGTTGTCCAAACTGGAGAAAGCGTAGTTTTAGTTTTGGGGTCATTTTCCGAAGTTTTCAAAAACAAAAATTAACCTACTTATATAGTAGTTTTAAAGGAGTACAATTGATATGAATATGTGAATAAAGTTTAAGTCTTTATCTGACGAATTATCTTACTTTTATGTCTTTAACACGAGTTTGAAAAGTATCAGTTTTGACCATTATTACGGCGTTTTCGCGAGTATGGTGTTGCAAACGCTCGCGGCTGTTACAGTTTGCAAAGAAGATGAATTTGATTTTTATTTATAAATATTAACAAAAGGTAGTAAGTAGTAGGCCTTTTTTTATAACAATTATATTGACACATATTTTTTTAAACATAGTTTATAGTGAGTGCTAGGCCTTTTTGTAAGTTAAGTTTAGTTAGGCCTTCTAAATAGGAGAATACTAAATAAAAAAATTAAGTTATGTTATTTTTGCATGTTGTAGCATAGTTTACGATGACTTTAAAAATGACTTCGGAACTTCATTTTAAAGTTATTAAAACTAGCTGATGCAACCATTGAGCTTCACATTACTTTACATAGTTAGTCCTTATTTATACACGTAGTTAAAAATTAAGTGATGCACCCCTGTGCTCTAGGTATAGGCCTACTTTGCGGTATTATAAGCACAGTTGGGAGGGGAAGGGGGGGAGACTTCCGAAATTTAAAAAAAAAAAAGTGGTTGCTTGGTCGCTGACCCATTCCCCTGTTTAAAATCCGGACTAAGCAGTTACATAGGCATATGCCTATATTAGTTTCTCTTCTGACTCTGTATTATTATTAATTTAGTACCGGTATAACTTATAATATAGTCAATATTATAGACCTAATATGATAATAAATTAATTCTATTTTATTTCACTATTCAAGGTCTAGGGTAAATAAATGCCCAACGGTTCCTTTGAGGACTGATAATTAAGATAGCAATCCTGATTGAACAAGCCATCACTGCTACTCTATACTAGATATTGACTCTGAACTGAGTCAATCCCAAGCTAGTGGCTAGTGTACTGGAGTTCTATCCCCAGAAAATGCCTAGACAAGCAAAAACATCACCAGCATGCCGGGTAGATGGAACTCGTTAACTTTGAATGGCAACTCAACTTGGAGAAGGAAAACTATGAAATCAAACCCGGAGATGGAGACCCGTAGACGTTATGACATTGACTCAATGAAAATTCTGACAAAATCCTATGACGTAGAAAGCATAAAGAGCATAGTGAAACACACACACACTCAATCTGGTAATCTACTGCATCCTGATCTATATCCAGTCGTCTTGACTAATCTTACCATTGAATCAAATAGGCAACGACGAGAGAGTGGCTCTGGCGAATTGAGCAACTCTCCCTAAATTTCAACAAAATACAGCTCACGTCAAGGCTACTGCTCCAGTCTTAGGGATCTTTATGTGTACAGGACAAAACAAAAATACTGTAAATATATGAAATATATTTGCAGGACAGTTCTCGGATGCCATGAAAATTAGGGGAAAATGATCAACAATGATAAACAACAATCATCTGAGTCTTCCTCTAGTTCAACTTCAGTTTTTTCACCTACCTCGGGTGTCCACTTTTGCAACTTCCTAGTCAAGCTCCTATGTTATGTGTATCTTCGGAAATAAATATGACTTACTTGTGAATAAAATGGATTATCTTATAACTTTATTAGTTGTTTGTTATCCAACATCAAGTGCATCTTATTTTTATAAAAAACCAAGTTACTCAATTGTATGTGAACTCGGGGCCAGAATATCTATACCGGTACATACCTAAATCAAATAATTGCTATAGCATTGGCAATCCTTAGAGTAAGTACCGGTACTATATAAGTGCATTTATGTCCTGTTACTACAAAAAAATTGTATAAGCGTATAGGGTCTCTCCGTTTTTTACTCTTTAAAAAATGTCCTGGAATTTTGTATTTTCTCCTGGAAAACTCCTGGAATTTGTTTTTAGATTTGGTGCAGGAACCCTGATTTTAGATATTTTCTTTCTTCTGTTTGCTGAATTCATTAACCCTATTATTTCATGTGCTATTTATTTTCTTTGACATGACTGACATATTCTTTACCCGAGGAGTCGGAATCGTTTGTTTTTTATTTAGTTTGATATGAGGCAACACCAAATCAATTTCCAATGCTATCCATATAATCTCTTGAAGCCCTTAATTTGTGTGAATCTTCACCATATTTTTAAAAATTGCTTTTGAAAGTTATTGCATTATGGCTGTTATGTAGCACAATTTCCTGTGCGTGAACTTTCCTCGACCTCACAGGACACTCCTAGTAGACACTAACGTCTGTTGTGGGCGTGGCTAAATCTCTTTGAAGTATCTTGTTTACAATCGGCTTCCAATTACGCATTGGGTATAATGTCTCCGGGTACCTTCTGGAATGTACTCCTTAACCCGAGATATGTAAACAACACGTCATAAGCCCTTCCGGAAGCGTCTTACTCTACATGTATATAAAGGATTGATAGATACGAAGGGAGGGAGATTTTCAGATAAATTTTCTTAACATTACGAGGCGTGTTTTATTCTTTGTGTATTTGTGTGCTCATATGTGTTTATTTCGCATTATTTATTGGCACATTATTCTAACTGTGTTAACTGTGTACCGGTACAAGATCTACCATACTGTAAGTTGAAGATTGTAATTATATTTTCTTTTCTTTTGTAATTATCTTAAGACATAATAAATCTTAATTAATTGTAACTAGAAACTGTTTTGAGTCGTATCTTTAATGTTGTTGATTCTATGGTATCGTCCTTTGTTAGGCACTGCTTACAACGAGCCAATTAAAATTAAAATAGGAGATTAATTTCTCCCAATACAAGTCAGTGCGTAACAATGGCAGTTCACCTTTGTGACATGGGGAAATCACAGTTTTGTAAAAGCCATATCTCGTCTGTTCACAGTCACAGCAGAAATAACATATCAGTAGGTCTATGGTACAAACATGCAGTGTTTGCTTGTTTGTAGAACATTCAATGTTTTAAAATTATTACGATTAATGTAAAAAATGTGGGTTTTTTTCATTTTAGCCTGGGTTTTAGTTCACTAAGTTATCTTGTCACTTTGATAGGCAAATTATAAATCTATTTTTCTATTCCCTTAGATAATTATGAATACATTTTGTTTCCTAAAAAAACGAATTATGGTCAATCTCAAAATTGCTAGTTACAGATATTAATTTTAATGGAATACATTCTGCAACAGGGAGGTAGAAAAAGGTTTTTCAATATTAAGTCATCATTTAATTCAATGTTGTATTCTGTTTCAGTGCCAAGGTGAATGCCTCAAAGGGTGTGCCGTTGTGGGTGAAGATAATTGCCGTGGCAGTGGTTCTGGTGCTGTTGTTTCTCATATATTCCAACATGGAGCCTCTGCCAGTCAACAATATTCCAAGCATTGGTGAAAAGGTGGAAGTTTAGCTGACAATGCTGGCTGGGCTGTTGATCAAGATCTTAATTTCATGTTTCAGTGTTACCAAGGGGAAATGTGAAGCAGGGGGGAGGTGTTTACATTTTTTTGTGTAATAAAACTTTACTGCCAATGATATTTTTGCATACATTAGGGCGGATAGCTTTCAACACCTTCAAATTAAGTATGCTGATATAGTACGAATTATTATTTTTTTATTATGCTAATTTTTATCTGGACTTCTCAAAATTGGATCAGTTGCAACAGCTTGGTGCTAACTGAAAGCCTAGTCTCAGAGTTAAGTTATGGACCATTATGATTTGTCATGTAGCATGAATATAATATCTATACTGCTTATTTATGTTATAGATTCACCTCAATTTTGTAGCTTCTGCCATTGCTATAAGAAGCTGGAATTTTTGTTGTCAATAAGATTTTATTTTTTTTGTGTGAAATAAATATAAACCGTTAACATCAAGATTTAGCAAGTCACATTTAAAAAATCAACATCCAATTTCGTTACATTGAATAGGAAGTATGTTTTAGATTTTTTCTCTACAGAAAGAGCATTTGTATTTAAATAAAGAAATAATCAATATGTATTTATTTTTTAAGTGACATAAATAATTTTTAGAGAGGCTGCAATTTAAAATTATCCTACAGTAGTAATGTTTGTACATTAAAAAAACACACAAAAAAACCTTCCCATAAATAAGTCATCTTCTGTTCAATCATCACCACCACATTTTATTTTATTGTAATTGAATCTCTTACATGGGAAATCTATTTCTCCAGATGCATCTTATTATTTCAACTTTCCTTTTTTTTGGATTAGGCCTTTTGTTTTTTTTCCCCCACTTTGAGTTAACAAATGATGCAACAATTTATCTTATCGTTGCAAGCTTCCAGTATGAGAAAGCTTTTTCATTGTCGCACATTTTTAGATGATCATAAAATTTCTTAGTTCATGTGAATTCCGTTGGCTGTAACTTGGGATAATGCAATTTTATTTTTAAAAAAAAAAATTTATGTTTCTCTTAAATAAAAAAAAAAGCTCTGAATGACCTTGATATTTACATATCCTCAAAAAAAAAAAAAAGCTATTTGCTTTGGCTACAGAATTCATCACTAACCTTTCCAGGGATAAGAACCTAAACACCTCTTTTTTTAATCACTCCTCAGATGACCATGTTTGGAGTTTCATTATTATATTTCTTTTAAAAATCATTCTCTAAATAAATTTAAAACTGAGGTCACCTAAACAGTTAACTGCAGCCATCTTGGGAGAATAAGTTCAGTGGGTTATTGTTTCTGGAGTCCTGGGTATTTGGATTTGCCGGAGGGAAGAGTTAAAAAAATTTTTGTGTACTAAAAACTTTGAAGGCATTTGGGTGGATAGCTTTTGAGACCTCTCCTTTTTTTTTTATTTTGTTGTTGCTGCAACAAACACTTCCTTAGTTTGGTTGTTTCTTTGCAAACCTGCACGGAAATGCACATATTCTATATCCACTTGAGATATGTTGTGCTTTGTACATGACGCAGCTGTTTAAGCTTTTTCTCATTTATAGACATCTTGTGACATTGACTATTCAATATTATATTATCACACTTAGAATTACTCACTATTGCCGTAAAACGGAGGTTTCAAAATTGTCACCTGCTCATGTTAAATGTCATGATATTTGATTTTTTGTTTTCTCGAAATAAATGTTTCTTGATGCTCGAATATTTTTTTTTTATTTCTCAACTTATGGTAATGTATAATCTGTTCTAGGGGACCAGCAGTGTTTGGTCTCATTGGTTGAATCCACTAATACCTTACAATTACAAGAAATCACCCACTCTTGGATGCATGATCTGTGAATTCAGACAGTAATGTCTCTCTCTTTAATATACTTAGTCAACATCTTGTGAATACCACATTGAGTTGGGTGCACACTATACAGTGACTTCAATGTATAAAAAAATTAAGAATAGGGGAAGCCATATTTTTTCATTCCCTTTTATTATCTCTCAGGACATAAAACAAGACAAAACTCAGTGGTATGCTGGATGTTATATATAGTTAGTTCTCACATTATGCACCCTTGATCTAAGCATTGTTCATACAATAACAACAAGGAATCTTAGCCCACAACACATGATTTGAAGGTCCATTGTAAATGTGACAGGAGATAAACACCAGTACAACCTAATTTTGTTTTAAATAAAGTTACAGGACAGCTGTGAATATTTTTGCATCTTTATATTTTGTCTGAAATGCAGCTACAGGGCAGCTGTGATTATTCAGATCTTTCAAGAAAAAAAACAATTTTCAACAGATATTTAAATCACTGCAATAGCCATACACCAGGTCATGAATCCATGCTGTACTCCTTGAAAAAAAATGACAGTGATGCTTATCCTAACCAACTAGAAATCACCTTAACACACCCCACAAAATATTTACTGTCAACATTAAAGGATGTACAATATTATTTATTACAAATGGAGTGCCGCAAAATAAAGCTTTGACACACATACAAAATGATAATATAAGGAATGCACCACTGAAAGCTTCACACAAAAATTTTGTGTTACCGTATTTAATGTGTCGAACTTGACCTAGTCCAGATACATGCACCAAAACAAGAGATATCACAAGTTATCACAAAAATCCGTGATTAACTGATTATCATGGTTAGAAGAAAGCCACTATTGGGCTGCCCAAACGGCATTACCACCACAAAGAATAAAATAAAATTTTAATTTGTCACATCCTTGCCAAGAAACCGTGCATACACAACTCTTGAGGCAAATGTACCTTTACACTGCATTTTTACGATAGGTCAATGCTAGAAATGTGCTATAAAGTTTTTTTTCAATGTAAAAATCTTCTTTTATCGTTTATTAAATTTTTAAAAATGAAATAATTTAAGACAAGCGTCCTGTTATATTTGTATACAAAAATAAACTTCTGAATAATAGATGGATATTTTTTTTTTTTAATTTGTTGGTTCTAATTCTTCGATGTGAACAGTTCTAATTCTTCTATTTGAACAGTTCTAATTCTTCTATGTGAACAGTTCTAATTCTTCTATGTGAACAGTTCTAATTCTTCTATATGAACAGTTCTAATTCTTCTATGTGAACAGTTCTAATTCTTCTAAGTACATTTATGTACCTGTTAAAATCAATAATTTATTTTTGTAAATATTTCATTTCTTTGGTATAAAATCTAACAGGAGATTTTTAACTTCCCCCTTGCTTCTGCAAAATTTCATGAAGCATTTGTTCACACATCATCAAGCTGCGTGGCACATGGAAGCATCCTTTCATAAAAAGAAAACAAGAAATTCAGAGCATAAAAATGTGCAGATAGGTCTATCTAAATTTTTAAAATATATGCTTTTACATTATGGCCAATTACTGTTAAATTAAAAAAAAAAAATTTACTGTCAAAATGTTAACACCACACTTTTAAAAAAAAATGTTTATTCTTGATGGCCAAGTAGTAATTTATCACTCATAACTGGATTACCAATTTTTTTTTTATTTAAGCGTATCAGCACACTGGAAGACATATAAAAAAAATCCAAAAAACTAAAGTAGCTGAGGTTTTGAAGCAAAAAGACCTACTGTTGTCAACCTGAGTGGTTTGTTGCATTTCAATGAGATGCATAATGCAAGAAATTAGTTCAACCTAAAAATTTGTGAAGCTGGTTTGTCTACCGTTCAACACACAAACCAAGCAGGAGCGCATCACAGTAACAAAACAAACTTTAGGTCTAACTGCTGAAGTCACTCAACTCCCCAACCCCCCACATTTTTCTCCCCTATGAGAGATATTAGGTGTTAACTAACCTCCAGAAAACCCAATAGTAAAGATATAAACCAGGTAGGTGACTCCTAATGATTTTTAATATCTTTCCAAACAGGTATTCCGAAATTACCTTGCCCACAGTTTTTACATGATCATAATGACATCAGGGGTAGAGTGGAATGCAACATTATTTATGTTAAATTCATGCCCCTTGGTTATCCTCACAATGCAATTTAAGTTTAGGAATCTGATCTGGACTAGTCTGCATGCATTTAATATTTTACATTCATTTTTTATCAAATATAAAAAAAGAAAAGGGAAGATATCTCATCTGTTATTTTACTATATATAAAGGATTTCTTAATTTACCTTTCCATTCTCCTCCTTTAGCATTGATTTTAACTTTGCCTTCTCTGCTGAGGTATCCAAACCATTCACCATTTTTAAAGTCCACAAACTGGAAAAGACATATATAAAAAATACAATAATTTTACTAAATTTTTATCGGTAGTTAATATTTGTTTAAAAACACCTTAAATTTGAATTGAATCTCCTTTAACACCTAAAGATTAAAAAATTGAAAGAGAATTTGTTCACAATATTTTGACATTGCGTGCTTTTTTTACAATAAAAAAATGATTTTAAAAATCTTGTTCAATTATTTTAAAACTGGTTCTCCCTGGGTGGGAAGTTCTCAATATAAGAATCTTTGAGAGCATTTTGGGGGAAATCAACATCCAGTCCCACATCCCCTTCTTAAAAGAAGACACATGTCTGAATGGAAGTTCAGTAGCAGCATTATACTTGCCCAGCTCAGGGCCATCTTGTAATTAATGATTTGTAAATTGTGTCTCTGAATTCCCATTGAAAAAAAAAAACAATATACGCCATCTCAGTCGGACCACTCTGATCTCAGGATCCAGGTATTTCCCATTGTCCGAAATGCATAATTATCTTTCACCCCACACAATCTCAGGAACACATTTATCAATAAACACTTCACAGCATCCTTCATAGTTACAGACATCTCACCATTTATGACAAGCAACATCACATGACTGCAATCAGTATTTATTTTTGAAAAAAAAAAATTTGATTTGACCAAATATACTAAGACTTATAAATACAATTTAAAAGAAATTGGCCTGATTTATAATCTGTATTACAATGTAATTTTATGTGTTGACTTTTTTTTTTTTAGTGGTGCTGTTTCAGGTGTAATGGGATCAAAAAAGTTGGGGATCCCTGTTGAGTTATGTTGTCCATGTATATAACATATAAGACACACTGAACAAACACAGTTAAATGATACCATCAGTGTGAAATTTAAAAGATATTTATTAAATTTTTATTAATGCATATTACCCACTTATTTTTATACATAGCTATTTCAACAACAAAAAAACAAAAAAAGTGTCAAAATGACTTACATGACCATAGGCGTAGTCAAACACCTTAGCAAATTGCTGCAGGTATTTCTCCTCTCCAGTGTACTTGTAAGCCATCAGAAAGGCTACCATTGACTCATTATGGGGCCACCAGAGCTGAAATAAATCAAATTTTGTTCTCAACATCTACACCCAGATATAATTTATTTAAGGGGCCAAAAGTTGTGATGTGTAATGGCAGCCCTGACTAACTTAATGAAGCTTAGTAATTTTGCATGAATTCTGCAAGTTAATTCTCAAAGTTCAAAATGGTTTACTAAACTGTGTGAGAATTTAGAATTATGCATTCAGGCAATAAAGTATTGGATCAAACTACTTCATTCACACAGCTTGAATGCAGTTCTTCAATTATTGTCTATCTAGATCAGGGGTCATCACAAACATATTTGAACAGAGACCTCTTCACTGTTCCTCAGTCACCCCTTGGGGCTGGGCTATATGTTTCAAACATTTAAATGAGATGATCAATGTACAGTTTGCAAATTTGTCACTGCTACTCGTGTGCCCAAACGGTGACTAGGAAGGCCGGGTTAAGGCCGATGTCAGGCTGACTTTGGACCACAGGCCATGATTTCATCTAGATGGTTAATTTAAGCAGTTTTACCTTTATAATTTAGTTTTAAAATGTACCAACCTTCATGTCCCACTCTAGCTGCAGAGGGGGTCGTCCATCTGCATCCATGAAGTAAAAAAGGCCACCAAACTCATCATCCCATCCACGGTTGAAAGACTCTGTGATGAAAGTTTCCAATGCAACTTGCTTGAGGTCCTCATTGCCATGTTTCACAGCTCTCTCAAGTAGGACCCAGCCCGTCTCTATGGCATGACCTATTTTGAAACATGCATTATCATTTAGTCAAAAAAAAAATAAATAAGCATTCTGTATTAAAATCAAAGACTTCATCTTTACATTTTTCTGTTTTCAAATAATCAAATAATATGAAATAAAAAATTCAACCCTAGGACATTGTTTACTTTTTTTATTTATTAAAGGAGAGTTCTTTTAGCCATTGGCTGTAGGAAATAAATATTCTAACACCATATAGCCATATCAGCATAGATTTATGAAGATTATTTTAAAAAATATAAATAATCAACAGAAGTTCTGCTATTCTATCTGGTATCCCTGTGATATAAAGAAGAAGTGCATTTAATAGAGCAAAAATTTAGTTTATGGTATTAATTAATTTTGCTGTAGAATAAAGAAACCACTAGAATAATAAAGGGTTTAACTTAAGGAGCAAAGCATTGAACCACAGCCATGAAGACAGCTTTTGAAAACTACTAACATCAAGTTAGAATTGTTAACACAATCTAACCTGGATTAATCAGCCTTCCAGCACTACCGGGCAGCTCCTGGCCATCCTCTGATACATTCTCCAGCACCAGCCCTCCCCTCTGAACATGCTTCAGCACATCCTCCAGGCACCAGTCAGCCAGGTCATTATACCCTGCCTGATGTGCCGGATCCATGACACCCAGCTGATCAATCAACATCAGGAAGATCATGGGAACAGCTAACGATGATGTGGGTGTGGGGGGCTGCACACGCGGGCCAAGTCCAGAGCTATCAACTTTAACCCACTTAACGATTTGCTTCATCATGGTCATAGCCTCTTTCTGACAACAAAAATTTGAAATACATAATTTATTTAAGCAATTATTTATAGCTAGAAAGTTTTAATGGAAAAGGTACTCCTTATATTGACTGAAATATATTTCAACATTTTTTTTTTAAATTTAAATTATATTTAAAAATAAAAGACAAAGCTTTTTTTTTAGTCTGAAATTCAAAACAATAAATAAGTTTAATTGATTCATAACTTTACTGATTTTGGGCTAAAATTATTTGCAACAAACAAATTTCAGCTTTTAAAGCTCTAAATTTTAAAACTAAAATGCTTTAAAAATCGTTGCAGGTGTGTTTTTCCGGAGATGGAGGTGTCAAGAAGGTAGCTTAGTGGTGCCAAAGGATTGTGTTTGGGGAGGAGTGTGGTGATAAATCTTTGTTCTGCAGGTAAAATATTTATTTCTTGAATACCTTATAAACATCTTCCTTGGTTACTCTATACATCTCAGCCATTGCCATGACATAAAAACTCTCTGAGAAAATTGTTCTTTGGCTTTTAAGGGGCTTTCCCTCTCGAGTCAGGTTTAAGTAGCATTTGTTGGTGGATGGGTCTTTCACATGTTTCATTACAAAATCAGCCCCTGTAATTGAAAACAACCACTATTAAACTTTTTTTTAAAAAAAAGCTTATTTTAAGCACACACACATACACACCTTTTTTTTATTTTGATATGGGAATTAATGTTTTAAGAATAAACAGATGTAATTTTCTTAAGGTCAAGCAACTGAAAAAATAATTGAAAAATATATGCAATAGTTCCCAGGATAACAATCTTTTTAAATTTTGATCTAGAAATATAAAAAAACCAATCATATATTTCACAATCAGTAAATTGAGGATCCAATAAAATTGAGTAGACTAAATGGATTTATTAGGTAAATATGCTTGGCTTATGAGATAATTTTCCCTGGATTGAGTCAAATAAGAAATTTATCATGAACTTGTTTAAAAATGGCTTTTAAAATTTTTTTAAACTTATTCAAAAGCCAATGCTCTTTCTTAAGTAGAATGCTTTTTAAAAGGCGATGAGGGGGGGGGGGTCGAGATAAATAATTAGTTGATAAAGTTCTCATAGTAGGCCTAAATGCCAATTTTGAAACTTGTAAAATTATGATAGCATATACTTCACCTTTCTTTGCAGCTTCCAGAATGTGAGGAAGACGAAATCTGGGTCGCTCTTGGTATAGCCTTGCATAAGTCCATACCTTTAATTAAATTGACATGAGTTGGACAGATAAAATAAAGATCTATCTGCAATCATTCTGCGTATCGGCTTACAATTTTTTTTAAAAAGAAATTATATTGACTTAATATACGATTACTTACTTGCCGACTCAATAGCCAGCAAAATTTTCTATCATCATAGACTTTGCCATCTGCTTCAAGGCAGGTAAAGAACCCTCTGAAAATATAGCAATGACGCCATCATTTATTACTTGATGTAGCAATATGCATCTCATCAGTTTCTTCTTCTTCTTCTTCTTCTATATCTTAAGGGCCCACGATCAATTTATTGATCATTTTGGCTCCTATGCATGTAGATGGGATTTGCAATGTTTCTTTTACTGGTGGTGATGAGGAAATTATTTCAAGTTTAATTACTCTTATCAAATAGTAGGTTATCTCTTACCACGAACTTTGACTTTGAAACTCATAAGTAGAGTCTATAGCAGGGGCAGATAGACTCTTTTTTTTAGATCTTACTCCATGATAACTACTTCTACGCCGCCATTTACCACCCCCCACCCAAAAAAAAAAACAAAACAAAAAAAACACATACATCTTTTTTTGAAAAGAAGAAAATCGTAGAATTTTTAATTTCAAAATTCAACAAAACGATTTCTTTGATAAAATGTTCACGTACATTTTTTTGAAGAAATTATGTTTTATTTTACACAATGACATAAAAAATTGGTCTTTTTTATATCAAAGAATATTTGGATCATGTTTTGGGGTTAAATAATTGATTTTTGCTTTTTATGTTCATTCCAGTGGAAAATTAGAAAAGGCAAGGCGTTGCAAAGGGCAGCAACTTTTTGACTGCTTCCACTTGGGAAATTTTGAAAACCGTTCATCTCCTGACATGTGAGCATAATCAGTCAGTATCACTATGACTATGAGTGTAGACCTTGCGCGGGACATCCTCGCAGCGCTAGACAACATCCCAGTGGGTGAAACCAAATGAAAATTAGTAAATTTTACATGGCTCGATCGAGTTTGTTTCATAACATGATTATGTTAACTACAAGAGTAGAGTGTAATCCCAGAGGCGTAGCGAGAGTAGCGCCCATGGACAAGATTAGCGCCCAGGGACAAGATTCATTTTAAAGCGCCCTCTTTTCTTTTTTCAACTTTCGAACACAATATTTTCATCAATAAAATAATGTCAAATAATTTTTTGGCGCCTCTAACTAGCTGGCGCCAGGGGACATCTGTCCCCCCCCCCTGCTCTAGTGCTACGACTCTGGTGTCACCTGTCACCAGAGTAGGGTGTCACCTCTCAAAAGAGAAGGGTACCACTAAATTAGTAATCTGTGACCAGAGCAGGCTGACTCGGATGAGGTCCATGGAGAAGTCAGGACGGGGGTGACACCATGAGAAAACCCCACCGGGTGGAGCCTAACCTAGTGGCGCCATTCGGCATAAGATAAAAAAATAGTGAACTAGTTAAACTAAAATGACGTATCCAAGACCAGACGTGAGCGCCAGCTGCCGGGCCATTAGTAACTCAACTGGAGATGGGACTCGAACCGAACCTGGACCAAACACAACGAAACGAACCCTGCAGACGACCGATCCCAACACGATCTCCCAAATCACTGAGTAATAACCAACCTCAACGTTCTACTGCAAACGTATTAGAACCTGCTGTTTTGCATCACTGTTTACATCACATATATATCACATAAGGGCCTACGACTTTATTTAAAACCATACCGCATGGTTTATAAGGGTCTATAAAAACATTTATGTCGTTTATTGCAGTGTTCTGCCTGCTGACGAAGGCATCTAGCCGAAGCGTCCACTTAAATTTCTTGTATTGTGTTTTCAAGCCTAAACAGATCTTGCTCCACTATTTATTTACCCCTTACATGGCTTGAGCGCATTCAATCCTATCTTATTCAATAGGGGTCAGTCGTTTCCAAAATTAGCACAAAATCCGAGGTCACATTCTATTTATAGGCTTCATTCTATGATATATTATTAAATAACAAGTCTTCAGAGTCACACTATCTTAGTCCGGTCACAGCATGTGAACAGAACTTATTTAGAAGTTTACCTAGTTTTGTGTTCAGGGCCGTCTTAACAACATAGCAGGCCCTGGGCACAGCAATGCACTAGCCCCCCCCCCTAACAACACAACACACATAAACCGTGAGAAGGGGGCACTCGCCCCCATGATTAAACATGTGGGGGGGGGGAGGGAGGCGCATAGGTAATATATTTATGTTAGACAGGAAAATTTTGGACAGGCCATCCCAGTTTATTTGACTCATTATTCGTTTCAATTAAAGTTAAACCCTTTGGAACTTAGAGCAGCATGGTTACTCTCTTTACAGCTCCTTTACAGAAAATAAGGGTGAAGCGGGGGGGGGG